GTGTTTCCTTCTAGTGCTAGACAGGTGCTTTGTCATGCATCAACGTGCATTTCCTTTCTTGAGTTCATGTGCGTTATTGATGTACATTGATGTGCGTTTGCATAGCTTTTTTCACTTTAGGATTAGGAGTGGGTAGAGTCACCAGCCACTGACCAAGGTGTGCTAATACCTGTTGAGAATTATTCCATTAGAAGTATATTGCATACCTTCCATCTTTCTGAGATGAGAAGGAGGGACACCTTCCAGCCCAATGTATTTAGGTAATGGATACCCCCCTTTCACATGAGAAGCCCCCCTTCACATTAGGAGTACCCCTTCAAATCAACGTCCCCCTTTTTAACATGAGAAGCCCCCCTTCACATCTAGCTTTTACTGAGTCAGAATTAAAGGGGAACCTTCACTGATTACTATGGGTAACTCTGCTGCTTTTTGATTTACTATCTAAACCCATCTGAGAGTGTTTATATGTCCATGAAGGAAGATAAAGCATAACTGCCAACAATTTCAAACCATTTGCAGGGACACTCTGCTGATAAGGCAACGACCCTTATCTACTTGCTCTCAATCCAGTGTCGGGGGACTACGTAACACCACAGTTCCATCATTGGCTTGGAGGTGTTTTTTTTTTGGCATTGAAACGCCCGAGGGATTTGGTTGCAAAGTTCCGTGTTAAAAATCCGACAGGGACAATGCCGGTGGGCAAATTTTCCAAGGATACATTTTCAAAACTTGGGAGCGTTCCTGGAAATCAGAAAGCTGGGAACTCTGATAAAGTGAACCAACGATGCAGAGTTGACAGCAGTCCCTGATTTAAAGAGACAGCGTCAGCTTTTGAAGATACGTCCCTGCATTCTTTGTCCCTTTTGTGCCTGGTTTTCTGTACGGATCAGCTGTGCCACCCTTCCTGCAGTGTAGACATGTCTCAACTTCTACCAATGATAATGTCATTTTAATAAACATTTCATATATGTGTATAGAGCATCCATAGCTCTCTAAGACATTACTGTGCATCAGGAGTCCCTGGAAAGTGATATCATAAGTCAATCTTTTTTATTACTATTATTATTATTCAGTATTTATATAGTGCCAACAGTTTACACAGTGCTTTAGCATTGCAATAACACAGTCAGACCCAGGATTGCCAATGGTCCAAGATTTAAAGAGACAACATCAGATTTTAAAGATATGTCCCAGGAATTTTTGTATTGCCTTGACTTTCTGTACAGATCAGCCGTGTCATAATATCTACTTCTACTGCACTGTAGATTTTTATTTTCTACCAATTATTTAATTTGGTCCATTATTGTTTATTGACCATTAATGGCAATATAGCCATATGCTGGGTTTATCATACAGCTTCCATAGATCTTTAAGACAGCTCATCAGCAAACTGTCCCTGTAAAGTAATATAATAATAAGGCAAATTCCATACTTTTAAGGCAATCTTTATTAGCACTGCAGTACTATAGTAATACATAGCGATACCCATCACTGCCAACGGTCCCAAATTTAAAGAGACAGCATCATTTTTTTAAATATTTTTTTTGTTTTTTCGGTCCCTGGCTTTCTACACCATTCAGCTGTTCCCTAAATCCCACCCTTCCTGTCCTGTGGACATTTCCTGTCATCTACCAATATTCATTTAATAACTGACCAGCAGCATAGCATGTAAGTGCTGCCAATGTTTTCACCCAGGGTTCACCCAACTTTTACCTAGGATTCACACATTTTCCAATTGAATCCAGTTAGAAGAATGTTTAAATCTTGGGTGAAAGTTGAGTGAATCTTGTAAACAGACCCCTAAGTTTATAAGTCTGTACATAACCTCCATAGGTGTCTGTACATAGCCTCCACAGGTCTCTGTAGATAGCCTCTATAGGTCTCTGTACATAGCCTCTATAGGTCTCTGTACATAGCCACTATAGGTCTCCGTACATAGCCTCTATAGGTCTCCGTACATAGCCTCCAGAGGTCTCTGTACATTGCCACTATAGGTCTCTGTACATAGCCTCCATACGTCTCTGTACATAGCCCCCACAGGTCTCTGTACATAGCCTCCGTAGGTCTCTGTACATAGCCTCCGTAGGTCTCTGTACATAGCCTCCGTAGGTCTCTGTACATAGCCTCCGTAGGTCTCTGTACATAGCCTCCGTAGGTCTCTGTACATAGCCTCCATAGGTCTCTGTACATAGCCTCCACAGGTCTCTGTACATAGCCCCCACAGGTCTCTGTACATAGCCTCATAGGTCTCTGTACATAGCCCCCACAGGTCTCTGTACATAGCCTCATAGGTCTCTGTACATAGCCCCCACAGGTCTCTGTACATAGCCTCCATAGGTCTCTGTACATAGCCTCCATAGGTCTCTGTGCATAGCCTCCATAGGTCTCTGTACATAGCCTCCATAGGTCTCTGTACATAGCCTCCATAGTTGTCTGTACATAGCCTCCATAGGTCTCTGTACATAGCCTCCATAGGTCTCTCTACATAGCCTCCATAGGTCTCTGTACATAGCCTCCATAGGTCTCTGTACATAGCCTCCACAGGTCTCTGTACATAGCCCCCACAGGTCTCTGTACATAGCCTCATAGGTCTCTGTACATAGCCCCCACAGGTCTCTGTACATAGCCTCCATAGGTCTCTGTACATAGCCTCCATAGGTCTCTGTGCATAGCCTCCATAGGTCTCTGTACATAGCCTCCATAGGTCTCTGTACATAGCCTCCATAGTTGTCTGTACATAGCCTCCATAGGTCTCTGTACATAGCCTCCATAGGTCTCTCTACATAGCCTCCATAGGTCTCTGTACATAGCCTCCATAGGTCTCTGTACGTAGCCTCCATAGGTCTCTGTACGTAGCCTCCATAGGACTTTAAAACACTAGTGGCATTATGAGTTAGGCTACATTCACACTAGGGGCAATTTATTTCCATTATATGCATCTAAAAAGCTTTTCTAAACACATACATATATGCATCTATATGCAACTCAGCATCGAACTGACCCTGGAAAGTAATACATCAAATCCCTTACTTTATTGAGACCGGCATGAGCATTGCTGTGGCACATTACAGTTACACAGTCTGATCCAGGATCGCACAGAGAACACACTGCACACTGAGGCTGAAGGGGTGTGACCGTGCCTTACCAAGGATTCACACATTTTCCAGTTGAAACCAATTAGTAAAATGTGTGAATCCTGTGCAAATGTTGGATGAATTTTATATTTCTAAATAGACTCCTAAGTTTATAATTCTGTACATAGCCCCCATTGGTCTATAAGACGCTATTGTGCAGCTCAGCAGCAGAGTGACCCTGGAATATAACACAGAATGTCAAATCCCTTAATTTAAGGCAACTTTCTAAAGCTTTGCTTTGACACATTACAGTTATACAGTCATGTGCAGCTCAGCAGCGAAGTGTCTTCGGAAAGTCATACACCAAATCTCTAACCCTAAGGCAATCAACATGAGCAATTACAGTTATACTGTCAGCTACAGCTCAGCAGCAAAGTGTCCTTGGAAAGTAATACGACAAATCCCTTCATTTAAGGCAATGTTAACCATTGTTGGAACTATTACAACTATACAGTCAGATTCAACTCAGCAGGAAGTGTCCTCGGAAAGTAATACACCACATCCTTTACTTTAGGGCAATCTGCATGAGCAAAGCTTTGACACATTACAGTTATACTGTCAGATACAGCTCAGCAGCAAAGTGTCCTTGGAAAGTAGACATGTGCGATTCGTTTCGTTCCGAATCGAAATTCAGACGAATTTTCGGAAATTCGGACATTCGGATGTATCCGAATTCCGAATTACAGACATAACGAATGCCAACGAATCCGAATTTCCATTTCCGAAATTCGGTAGCTGTAGTTCGAACGTTCGTTTCGTTTTCGGTTCTTATTCGTTTCTTATTCGTTTCGTTCGTTGGAGCAAAGTGACATTAGAGAAGGAGAAAAATATTTTTTTCCTCTCAAATGTCACGAACGAACGAAACGAATAAGAAACAAATAAGAAACGAATAAGAAACGAACATTCGACCTACCGCTACCGAATTTCGTCCGAATCCGAATTCCGAATCCGAATTGACTTTCACACCCGAATCCCGAAAAACGAAATAACACAGATCCGAATTTAAAACGAAACTAAACGAATTTTTTGGCAGTGCACATGTCTATTGGAAAGTAATTCACCAAACTCATTATTTTAATGCAATGTTAACCATTGCTTTGAAATATGACAGCTATCCAGTCAGAATCAACTCAGCAGGAAGTGTCCCTGGAAAGTAATACACCAAATCTCTTACTTTAAGGCAATCTGCATGAGCAAAACGTTTGACATGATACAGGTATACAGTCAGATCCAGCTCAGCAGTAAAGTGTCCTTGGAAAGTAACACAGTATTGTAAATCCAGACCAGCAGCTAAGTGTCCCTGGAAAGTAATACACAAAATATCTTACTTTAAAGCAATGTTAAGCATTACTTTCATACATCACGATTACAGTCAGATCCAGGTCAGCAACTAAGTGTCCCTGGAAAATAACCCAGTATGGCAAATCCCTTACTTTCAGGGCTCAGGCAATCCTCATAAGCATTGCTTTCATGCATTACAATCACACAGTCAGATCCAGGTCAGCAACTAAGTGTCCCTTGAAATTAACACACATTGCTTTGACACATTACAGTTACACAGTCAGATCCAGGTCAGCAACTAAGTGTCCCTGGAAAGGATCACACATTGCTTTGACACATTACAGTTACACAGTCAGATCCAGGTCAGCAACTAAGTGTCCCTTGAAAGTAACACACGTTAGTTTGACACATTACAGTTACACAATCAGATCCAGGATTGCATAGAGAACAGACTACACACTGAGATGGTTGTAGGTGTGACTGTGCTTGAAGAGAAACATGGAAAGCTTTATACAGAGTCAGCCACATCAATAAGCAATCCTTCTATGCCCCCCTCCACAAAATAGTCCTCATCCAGCCACTTACCCCTGTAAGTATTGCCAGGCTTGTAGTAATCAGGGTCCCCTTCCACTCTCAGGCTAAATTCATTGTACCCTTCTTTCCGTGTACTTCCTTGAGCTCTGAGAATCCTACAATATCCTTCAGATTTCACAGCTTTCTCTACAGTTTCATCTGTAAATCCAGAGACCACTGACAGACAAGTCACAGCCACATAGGAAAGGTATAGAGGTTGCATTAACAGTCCCATTGCAAATTAGAGGGGGGAAGAAAAAAAAAGAAAAGGGGGGAAAAAGGGGTCCAGGGAGCTGCAGCTGGGGAACCAAGGAGAGCAAGCTCTAATCTCTGCCAGTTCCTAACTGGAGTGCTGTTTTCCTTCAGTGGATTCAGTGATTAGCAGCGCTGTAATGTTGACTTAGCCCAGCAAAATTCACAGGCTTTGGTGAAATAGCAGAGCGCTGGAGAGGCTGCTGTCTCCTAGACATCCAGCGCAGCTCTGTGTGCAGCATGGACTCAGCTAACACACACACAATTAATCATGCACATTCTTTCCAAAGTCTATAGTTACTACTATATGCATGCACTTCCATTTCCTTTCTTCCTCCTTTTTTTGTCTTTTAAGTTGACAGATGCTGATTGGCAAGGCTTTTTTTTTTTGTGGTGTGGCTTTCCTCAGATGGGAAGGAAGGTTACATAGTAACTTGTTACTTCTGGTTGACCATGTAGCAACTCTGAGATGAACTTCTTGGGGGGTAATTAGCAAAGTGGAGAGCCGGTGGGAAAGCGCAGACGCTCATGGCAACCGATCAGAATTCATTGTACAGCATTGATAAAGGAAAGGTTGATTTAGATTGTAAGCTCTCACAGGCAGGGCTCCTCTTACCTTCTTGGCTTGAATGTATTTATTTATTTATTCTAGGTATTTATATATAGTGCTGACAATTTACGCAGTGCTTTTACATAGTTTACATTCACATCAGTCCCTGCCCTCAAGGAGCTTACAATCTAAGGTCCCTATCTCACATGCATACATACAGGGTCATTTGAATTGTATTGTAACTGTAATGTCTTCCTTATATTGTAAAGAGCTGAGCAAACTGTTGGTGCTATATAAATCCTGTATAATAATAATAATAGTAATAATAATAATAATAATAAGTTAACCACTAGTTAATTGGCTCCTGTCTAAAATTGACTCTAGTATGTGTGTCTATGTATGCCAGTTGACGTGGGACGGCACCCCAATCAGGACTGATCATTCACCGACATGCCATTGATAAAGGAAAGGTTGATGAAGAATTGTTAGGTTTTGCTGAACCTCTGGTAGGTTAAATGGCTCCTGTCCATTCACACAAGCGCAGATGCGTTTCAGTACGGTTTCCGTGCGATTTTAAAAGGGCGGTTTCGGCCATTTCTAATTGACTGCTTAGCGTATTTACATTGAAATCTATATGGAATCCGCACTGATCAGCGCAAAAAAATAGCTCAGGGAGCATTTCGGGCGGCAGGCGGTTCGGAGTCGCACGTTCGCACAAACAGTCCCCATAGAAATGTATGGGATCATTTATGTCGGCGGTTCAGCATAGATAAATCTCCGCAACCGAACCGCCCTGGTGTGAATGCAGTTTAAAATCGACCCTAGTTTGCGTGTATGCTTGCCAATTGACTTGAGGTGGCACAAACATCATTTTGTATCGAACAGAGGGTTGTCAACAGAGACACACACTACTTCAATTTCAGCCAAGTCCTGCTGACTGTCCTTCAAGCTATGGATGGCCAGCTTTATAATTTGACTCTACAAGGTGCTAAGGAGTCCATTTATAAAGAGTAAAGAATAGTGATGTGTGAACACCGGTATGTGTTCGCTCACTTCCCAATCTACTGAGCCGACCTGTGACAGTCTCATTGTCACAGGTCAGCTAGAACTATGAGGTGAGTGAAAAGCACTCACCTCATAGTTCTCCTTTAACAAAATGTTTTCATTGGTATGTTTAACAGAGCAAAAGGGAACCAATAAGTGACATTAATTGTTGGGTTTACATACACTTTAAGTCTCATTCTACAAATGCTGATTGTCTCAGTATCATGCTAAGCCTCTGGCTTCAACATTATAGGCTCAATTCCCAAAGCTCAAACACATGGATGAGGATAATTATTTAAAAACAGTGACAGTTATTTTTGAATTGACTCCAATGAGATTTGAATATTACAGGATGAAAATAAAGATCCTTATCCTAGTGTAAAGCTTTGTAAATTGAGCCTTATGAAATACAACACCACACCAACTACTGCAGATAAACACTTTGATTTCCAGATCAGTACACTTGTTCCACGTCATCGACTTAGAAAGTACTGAACTGCTCTGCATAACAGCCAGGTAGCTAGTATTTTCAGAAGGAGGCCAGGAATGGTGACAACCCCCC